CCTGCCACCCAGCGGCACTCACCTGTGGGGCCCAACAGAGTGACCACTAATGTTAGAAACGTGGCCAGTCTAAATCAAGATCTGCCGTGAGTATGAGACACACGCAGGATTCTGAAGACTTAGTACCGAAAAAAAATCTCAGCGATTCTTTTTATGTTGAATACATGTTGCAACGATAACAACTTGGCTCTATCGGGTTAAATCTATTATAGGGAATTCCCCGGCAGTCCAGTGGTTGGGACATGGCTTTCACTGCCGAGGCCCAGGCCCAGTTCCTGGTCCAGCAACTAAGATCCAGCAATCCGGCCAAAAGTAAATAAGCAACATATATTATCAAAATTGATTTCACTTGTTTCTTCTCCCTTTTTTAATGTGGCTGTTAGAAACTTTGAAGTGACATGGGTGGCCTGCATTTGTGGTTCACGTTACATTTCTATTGGACAGCACTAATGTAGACACTGGTCTCCAAGACCCTCAGAATTGGGAAGAGACCTGGGGCTACAGAGCTCAGAGGGACCTCAGGGGCCTTGGGGGCCCCCTCTCCTGGGGCAGAATGAGAAACTGAGGCCCGTGTAGGACTCTCCCCTCCCCCACCCCCTGCCACACTCACCTGGGCCAGCGCCCTCTCCTGCGAGGGGCTCAAGTCACCTACTTGCCCACTCATGCTGCCCACAGCGGTGTGGGGTCGGGCTCCCTGGTCCTGGGTGTGGGCCCCACTCTGTGTCTCCCTCAGGCCCTCCCGTCTTCTGCGAGCTGGGAGCCCCACCCATGCCTACCCCTGCCCAGAAGCCCCGCCCCTTCCAGCCGGGCCTGTCCTCTCTTCCTGGTTGAGGTCATTCCTTGCTGGGTGCCTTAGGGCGCTGACCCTTGACCTGATCGGCCTGGATTCACATCCTCCTCTGTGAAACAAGGATAGCCACACAGCATGTTGAAAGGTGACACCCCCTGTCGTTACACACAGGGGCTGCTCTCCACCCTGCCTCCTGGCCCCCACCCCTGGCTCCTGTGTTCCCAGAGGGAGCCTCCTTGGGCCACGAAGGCCCACCACTCACCCCCGACAGAGGTCTGGAACCTCACTGTGTGTCCCAGTTGTCGGGAGCAACTGCCCATGATTCATCACAGCCTTGAGGGCACGAGGCTTCAGGGGTGAGGAGAGAACTTCCCAGGCCCAGATCCAGCAGGTGGATGTGTCACCTGGAGCTGGGTCACACCTGGCCTCGGGTGAGGGGCGACAGGGGACTTCCGGCTAGTCAGCTGCCCCAGCTCTGGACAAGAAGAAAGCCAGAGCCCAAAACCAGGACACAGGGGGCTTGAGTGTGCATGGGGCCTGCACGCAGTAGGTACAGTGTACACAGTAGGTGCTCAATAAGAGCTTGTCAAAGAAGTGATGGTAAGGGAAGCTGGAAGGGGCCGCCTCTCCTTTTCCGGTTCTTATATGGGTCTCTGGTGCCTGTAGGTGCCAAGGGACACCTCCTCTTCAGACTCCCTGCCTCAACTTGCCCCCTGACTGGGCCCCGCCCCAGGGTCATGTGAGTTCTCTGCTAATGAAATCGCCCCTGCACTCGTGTGTCTTGGCTAATGTGTTATCCTCCGCGGGGATAAGGAACCAGGTCAGTTAGGACAGGTGTGAAGTAGGCCCACAAGGGGGAAATAGCTCCTTCTCTTCCCGCTGCCCTATTTTCACTCCCTCTTTTTCACCTTCTCCCTCCCTCCCTCCTTTCTTCTTTCTTCTCTTATTTCCCATTTTTCCCCCTATTTTCCTTTTTCTCGACCATGCAGCCTGCAGGATCTTAGTCCCCCTAAGATTTGCACCCACACCCCTGCCATGGAAGCGTGGAATCCTAGCCACTGGACCCTTTCCTCTGTCTTTCAACATTTATTATGAGCTGACTGTATGCCAGGCACTGGCCTGGCCACCGGAGGCTGACTGTGTCCATAACACCCAGGCCCTGGCCTGGAGGGGCCTCGAAGACAAGCAGATCCACGGCTCTGACCGTGGGCTAGCAGAGTTGAGATGTGCGGCCTGGAGGCCCTGAACCAGCCTCGGGGCTGGGTTGTCAGAGAACGGTGCCCAGAGAGAGAAGGCAGAGCGTGCTTTGAAAACATGTAACAGTGTGAGGCCTGCAAAGGGAAGGGGGAACAGCATGTGCGAAGCCCCAGAGGCATGCGGCTGCCTGATTTCTCTTGAAGGGGATGCAGTGACCACGGTAGGGGGAGGGACTCGGAGCAGAGGACGGTCTCTGGCTACAGGTGAGGGTGGCTCTTAGGGGTGAGCCTGAGGAAGGAGGGGCCCAGGTGAGGGGCAGAGTCCTGACCCAGGAGAGTGTGTTAGTGTCCTGGGGCTGCCTTAATAAAGTCCCAACAGACTGGGTGGCTTCAAACAACAGGAGTTTATTCTTTCACAGATCTGGAGGCTAGAAGTCTGAAATCGAGGTGCCACGTTCCCTCTGAAACTCTGGGAGAATCCTTCATTGCCTCTTAGCTTCTGGAGGTGGCCGTCACCCTTGGCGTTCCTAGGTTGGTAGCTGCATCACGCCAACCTCTGCCTGGCTTCGCGTGGCGCTGTCCGTGTGCGTCCGTGTGTGTTCACATGACACCTCCACGTCTCATCAGGACACCAGCCATATTGGATTAGGGTCCACACCGAGGACCTCGTCTTCGCTTGATTATATGTACAAAGACCCTATTTCCAAATGCCAGTCATAGGGAACTGAGAGGTAGGACTTCAGCATATCTTTTCAGGGGATACAGTTCAACCGGTAACAGAGAGGAACAAGTAGTTTCACTGAATTTCCCCTGGGGGCAGCCTCGATCTCTGCCCTGGCTTTCACGTGTCTGGCCTACGGAGGCCTGGTCACCCTGGGCGATCCCAGCCCCCACTGGCCGGGAATGGCAGAACCTGCCAAGACTCAACTTGGTACCATGGCGCCCTCTGCTGTCCAGGTGCAGCGAGAGCCGTCGGGTCCTGAAGGCGCCCCCGCCGCCGCAGAGCCTCTTGGAGCCCTCCTACTTTTTCCGCCGTGGGAGAGCCCTCAGTCCTGAGGCTGAGGTGGCCAACTGGAATGGCGCTGAAGGTCTGGAGGCTGCGAGCACCAGCGTGGCAGCTGACTGACCTGGGTTGCGTCCTGCCTCCGTGGGTGGCTGACTGGGTGACCCTGGGCTGGTGGCTCAGGTCTGTGTCTCCATCACCTTCTTGGGGCAGCAAAGAGTACTGTGCGTGTTCCCACAGGGCACAGGGCTGGGCAGAGTGGTGGCTCAGTATCTGGCACCTACTCACTATCAAAGTGTTAATTATGTTAATATGTGAGTTAATAACTATACTGATTTTAAAACAAACCAGGCAGATGATAAATGCTAATAAAGTCATCTGTGTCCTTAGCATCTACAAACGGCCAGATTTGTTCTCCTTGGATCCCCTAAAGGGCCTAAAAGTGCCAATATTCATAATAATAAATAATGAAATAATATTATCAGATTATTATTGGCATTTCTAGGCCCTTCGGGTTCCAGGGAAATAGAATTATGGGGTTCCATGAACCAGAAAGTTATAATATTGCACTAAGTCACATCGCTCTCTGATTAATAAAAGGAGGAAAAATTCTCTAAGTGTGGGGTCAGTTACAGCATTTCTTGCAAATAGACTTAGCTATTGTCAGCTTTATTTATTTTCACTTATTTCTCTCCCTATAAATAAAATAAAGACTCTGAGGATGTGCTAATTTCTTGCCTACATGGAAGACTATGAGGGTGCAGGCAGTGGCCCCAGGGGGTTGGTGGGGTCAAACCAGTCCCATACTGACCAGAAGTCCTGGTTGTCCAGGATTGAGGCGTTTCCTGCAGTGTGGGAACTTTCAGGGCTAAAACCAGGTCAACTCCAGGAAACTGAGTCGGTCACCCTCCCTCGTTCCTACCCTGCTTGGACCAGAAGCTCACTCCAGGAGGAAGCTTGACTCAAGCCCAGGGAGGTTGAGTGATTGATCGGGGTGACTTATCTGGCTTTGAATTCTGACCCTGGCACTAATTAGCTGTGTGACCTTGGGTAGGTCATTGAACTTTGGTCTCTAAAGCTAGGATGCTGTACATATTCAGAAAAGATATATAGGCACTTGGTTTGGAGCCTGGCACAAACAGGTCTCCATGAGTCTCCTGGCTGCAATTTCTGCCTTTCACATCTGGCCGCTGGCTCCTGGTTAGAGACCTAAGGAAGGGCCTTTGTCCCCCTGGGGAGGCTGAGGGAGGCAGGTGGTTGGAGCTGACACATCCCCGCCACAGCCCCATACTTGACGTGCATGGCTGCTCTCTGGACGTGCGCTCCAGCGGGGTCTGGGCCATCTTTCTGACTGCTGTCTTCTCAGGACCAACTCAAGGCTGGGATGCACAACCGACAGCTAATAAATGCCTTTTTTTTGGATAATTAAACTGAACCCTAGGATGGGAGGGGTAAATCCAGGACTGACGGAGGCTTGGAGCAGAAGATGAGGATGAGGTGGCCTGGAGAGGTCGGTGGGGGAGAGGGGGCAGGCAGGGACAGGGTGAACAGACATGGGCTGTGGAAAGGGTCGGGGTCCTGGGGAGATGGTTTAGTACTGGGTCTGATTCATCCTGCAACGTAAATCTCAAGCAATTCCCTTCTGCTCTCAGAAAGCCGGTCCCACATGTATATATGGGATGGCGACTGTGCCTATCTCAAAGGGCTACTGTGAGGACTAATGAGATTGCACGGAGCCCTTAGCCTGGATCCAGGGCCTGCGGAGTGCTCCCCACCTCCCTGCCACTCTCATGCACACACACACACACACACACACACACGATCTTCTAGGTCTTGGGGCTTCATGGGAGTCCTTCAACCACAAAGGGCTTCAGCATGTGATGGATACACACCACACCCCGCCCCAACCCTGGGCTCTGTCCACAGGTGCCACTGTGCTCCCTTGGGGTCCCCCAATCCCCACCAGTCACACACACACCAGGGCCGCGCCAGTCAGCACCACTGAAGCTGATTAACAAAAACGCATCAAATTCTTTTACTTCTGAGGTCTCCCCTTTAAGGGGAGCCAGAAAATAGAACATTCGTTTTGGGGGGAGGGTAGGGGGACTTAATTTAAAAAAAAAGAAAAACTCTAATTAGTCAAATACTGATCTCAGTTGGGCCCTGTGCGCGGTGGGCCCAGTCCTTGGCTGGTCACACCCCTGCGAACAGCCCCACCTCACCCCAGGGACTGGGGTGGCACCAGGAGGGGCCGCAGGGGGATGGCCGGCGGGACCCCCGCCGGGCCCTCCTCGGCGGGGGCCCCGGCGTCACCACCGCAGGAAGTCCCGGATGAACTTCCAGAGCTTGGTGATCCACAGGTTGACGCCCAGGTCCATCAGGTACTGGATCTCGGGCGTGAGCATGCGCCGGCAGAGCTGCGCGTGCCGCTGCCCGATGCTCTTCTTGAGGTTGTAGCCCAGGATGGACTTGGCGCCCAGCGGCTGCCAGGGCTGCATGGCCGAGTCCTGGATGGCCGCGGCGTCCACCGCGTGGCCGCCGTCGATGCAGATGCGGCGCATGCGCTCGTTGGCGCGCCGCAGGGCGGCCACCTCGCGGGCCATGCGCTCGCGCCCGAAGGCCTCCACCTTGCGCCAGAAGCTGGCGTTGAAGTGGTGGTAGAGGCGCGCGTCCAGCACGTTCCAGGCCGTGGCGCGCCGGTACAGCTCGCCCGAGAGGCGCGGCACGGCCGAGGCGCGGCGGGCGTTGAGCTTGAAGTAGAGCACGTCCTCCAGCCCCCAGCACAGCAGGTCCTTGAGCAGCACCAGCGACTCGTCGAAGTACTCCTGCAGCAGCACCAGGTGGAAGCGGCGCTCCACCTCCAGGATGTGCTCCTGCACCTGCGGGCTGCCGGGGTCCAGGTCGCTGTCGTAGCCCAGGTCGAAGAAGAGCAGGTTGCGGAGGTAGTGGGCGTTGTAGCCGCGGGGGTCGTAGTAGCGGTCGGGGTCCTGCAGGAACTCGGCCAGCTTGTCGCGGCCCGAGAGCTTCCACGTGAAGGGCACCACGGAGCCGAAGTAGTGGAACGAGGACTCGAAGAGGCGGGCGGGGTCGCGGAGCACGGTGATGAAGGTGGCGTTGGGCGCCACCAGGCCCCGCACCTCGTCGTAGTGGAAGCGCATGTGGTTGCAGATGATGTTGAAGCAGGCCCCGGGCCGGTAGTCCTGCACCAGGCTGCGCGCGAAGAAGGCGGGGTAGTCGAAGTCGTTGCGGCCGTTGGGGAAGGCGAACTTGAGCCCGTGCTTCTGGCCGAAGCGGAACAGGATGTTGAGCAGCGTGCTGCTGGCCGTCTTGTGCGTCTTCATGAACACGATGTCCCGCCGCGGCTGGCAGCCGCCCGCCGAGCCGTTGGCCGGGGTGGGCGCCTCTGGCTCACTCGGGGCCGGGGAGCAGGGGGCCGCGCCCTCGGGGGTCCTGCTGGGGGATGGAGGGGTGGCGGAGCCTCAGGATTCGGCCTGCCGGCCCCTCCACCCCAGGTCTACAGAGCACGTGGCTGAGGGTGGGTGGGGGGGTACCCTGGGGACTCCCCATGGTCGGGGAGCCCGGGGACCAGATGGGCCTGTGTTCCAGGCTGCAAGGCTTAGGTCAGTGGTTTGGCCTGTCTGGCCTTACTTTCCTCTTCTGTGAAATGGGGACAGTAACCCTCTTTGTGGTGTTGCCGTGAGGACAAGAACAAGTCTCATTCGTGGCCACTGTGATGTACATTTATCATGAATTCGTATTAGGCTGGACCACATGAAACCCTACATGCAAAAATGAGCATTTCCTCTAGTTCGACTTAATAGCTCCAACTAAGGGCACAGGCTGTGCTAGGCTTGGGTAGGTGATCAGCCCAGTGGGGAGGCAGGACGACCTCATGGCTAGGAGCCAGGCTTGGAGGCAGGCAGACCCCAGTTTAAATCTAGGCCTGTGCCAGCCGAGTGCTCTTGGACTGGTCATCCCCACCTCCCGGCCCCGCTGGAGCCCACCGAGCAGATGGTGATGTTTGATTCTCACGCTCCATGTCTGGCTCCGTCAGCACACCCACTTCACAGATGAGGACACTGAGGCCCAGGGTTCCACAGTGAGCTCCCCTGCTCTCAGGGGGACTTCTGCCCCACATAGCATGATGCAGGGCACAGGATGGCCACCCAGGAGATAGCCCTGGTCATCGGTGTGGGAGCCGACCCTCTGCCACCCCAGCCCTCGGCCGCCCAGCAGGGTCACTCACGTGGAAGCCAGGCCAGTGTACAGCGGGGGGACGGCATAGGAGTACAGCAGCAGCAGGAAGCTGGTGAAGAGTGCGCCCAGCACCAGCCCCTTGGCCATGGACTCCCAGCGCTTCTTCTGCGGCAGCGGCATCTCAGACACCTGCAGGGGGTGGGTGGGGGTTGCAGAACAGGGCACGTGTTAGGAGGCCAGCCCCAGGGAGCCCTCACCACGATCCCAGGCCTGGCTGGCTTGAGAGGCAGCTTTCAACACTGGGACCTGCCTTTGCCAGCTCTGTGGCCCCCCAGCAGTCCAGATAAGGACAGCATCTGGGCTGCAGATGGACACGGTGGACAAAGCCAACGCCAAGAAAGCCTGGGGCGAGTGACAGGGGGAAGGTTCTGCTGCCTGGGTCAGTTTTCATTTGTGAGCTGAGTGGTGGGTGTTATTTTATTTTTTTGTAGACTTTTCTGGGCTTCATAATGAAATCATCTAAATAAAACAAGGAAAAGAAGACCCTTTCCTAGTGCCCTGTACCCCCAGGTCTGGGCCAGGGGTGTCTACAGAGAGGGTCCTGGGGCCTGGGTCTCTCACCTTTCTGAAGGCTCAGCCAGCCTCGGCCACCCTTCCCAGCCGTCCAGTGAGCGGCTGAGTTCCTCGTCTCTCCACACTGGCCCCTATGCCCATGGGGTCTGTAGGGGAGCCAGATGGAGGGATCTGAGGCTCAGAGTGAGGAAAGAGAGGACTCAGATCACACAGGCCTCTGCCCACATTCCTGCCTCTTCTCCTGCTGCTGGCAGGCTGGGTCAACCAGGTGAAGTCTGAATTGCAGATGAACAAATACAATTTTTTTTAGTTATCTGTGTGTCCCAAATAAGGCCTAGGGTATATTTATACTAAAAATTATTCAGTATTTCTCTGAATATCGGATTTAACTAGATGTCCAGTGGCTGGATGAGAGCTCCAGCCCTCAGCAGGGAACCGCTGGACTGTGTCTACAGGGGGCACCTGTGTGCCTTGAGACCAGTCTGGGACCTCAGGCTGAGTAGCCGTCAGCCCAGGGCTGGAGCAGTCCATTCACCCTGAAAGTCTCCCTCATCACAGCCTTTTTCAGCAGCGGCCTGCTTGTACTTTTCAGTCCTTGGTGGCTCAACGCAGTAAAGCGTCTGCCTGAAATGCAAGAGACCCAGGTTCCATCCCTGGGTCAGGAAGATCCCCTGGAGAAGGAAATGGCAACCCACTTCGGTACCCTTGCCTGGAAAATCCCATGGACGGAGGAGCCTGGTGGGCTGCAGTCCGTGGGGTCGCAAAGAGTCGGACAGGACTGAGCGACTTCACTTTTCACTCTCCTGGTTTTTCGCTTGGGGGCTAGGTTTTAGGTCTGACTGTGTCTGACCCCGTCAGCAGGCGGCTGAGGCCTGAGCTGAAATGGGGGCTGTTCCGGCCAAGCTGTGGGGGTCCAGAACAGAGCAGGGACTCAGGGACCTTTTCACGGCCCCGTAGCTGCAAAGCCACGATCCCAAACTTTCCATTCCGTGCCGCCCTGGGCCCCAGGCGCTGGAGGCCGTGAGAGGTCACCCATGCCGCCCGCGGTCACACACACGGCACGTCACCACTGGCCCTGGGGCCAGAGGCCAGCCAGCCAGCCAGCCTGGAGGAGAACCTCTGGGAGAGTGACTGGAGGCACCCACCAACCTTTCCCAGAGAAGGGACACTCCAGGAAGGAGCTGAATCTTGAAAACTTAAGATTGCAAGGTCTAGAAAGTCCTCTCACAGGGGGAAAATTAGGACTTGCTGGCTTCTGGGAAATTTTCTTTTTCCAGTGTGATGTGAAGGTGTCAAATATTTGTCAGGATTTAAGAATCGCCCGGTCTCTGTTCAAATTGGAGCAAGTGGAAACCCTTAAGCCGAAAGAGTAGTTTCAAAGACCCGCTTAGAATGAGCTTTTGTGTTTTATTCTCTGGCTCTCTCAGGGAAGGGACCCTGCAGTTAGGTTGTTAAGTGTTCTTACTACAGTAAAATAAAATGATCAATAAGAGAACATACAGGAACAGGATGGTTCTGGTGTATGTGCACATTTTTGGCATTTGCTTGTTTAAGAGAGTTCCTCGGCTGCTTGATGAATTTAACTAAAGCACCCCTTCTCTGCAGGGAAGAGGGAAAAAAGAGACACACTGGCTTCTTCTAGTCCTTGTTTTTCTTCTGACTGACTAGGGGACCCAGGACAAGTTACTAAGAACTTTCTAGTCCTTTTGTTTCTCATTCCAGAAAAGGAAGATTTAAAAGGAGAGATTTCTACTTCTGGGATACTGTATCATTTTCTTATTTGATGAAAGTTATGGGTTTTTATTTATCCCCCAAAGAATACCCATAAGGAATAGGTAGAGATAAATTAAAGCTACCTAAAGAATTTAATTCCTGGTTGCCCAGTAACCATTAAATCCCTCAGCAGTCAGGCAAGAATCACATTCCTGCCTTGAGACAAGATTTAGTCCTTTTTGAACTTACCCTTGGGCTGTGTTCCGAAAGTTTATTTGTAAGTTAGTTGCTTACAACTTGGAATAAAATGGCTTATAAACAGTGGTTAAGTCCTCAAGTCCCGAAAATCGAATTTAACCATCAGAGTGCCTGCCATACTGCAGGGTGTGAATAGAATGCAGCCCTGTGTTTCTATGGAAGCAATCCTTTGGGGGTAGAAACTCACAATGCTGGGTTTTATTCCTTTACTCTAAAAGCTTCTCTGAGTAAGAACAGCTCTTGCCTTCCTGGTCACTCCACTGACCTTTCAACTTTCTTGTCTCTGGTCCTGATTTTTCTTTGCATGAAGGTTTCTGTGATCTCCCAACATCCCTACCCCACCCTCTCTCTGTCCCCTGATGCCCTGCATCGTGCCCTTCTGAGCGTACTGCCCATCACCCTCATGCTGGCTGGGGTTACAAACACACTGGGCAAGCAAAGCCCCATATCTCCTGTAGCAGAGGAGTGGGGAAGGCCATCTGGTACTTTGGGAGTCAGAACAACTTGGCCTGGAATTCAGGCTCTGGGCTGTAACCCTAGGGAAGTTATTGTACTAAAGATCTGTGAGCCTCTTTTTCCTGATCTTGAATGAGCTAAGTGATATGGAAGTCAGGGCGTTGTGAGCACTCAGTGGCGTTAGGTACAATATCATCTGCCCTTGAGCACATGATCAGTGTTAGGGTTCCTCTTGCCATGAGCCCGCCACTTCTGTTTTAACCTCTTGAACGCTATAGGGAATTTGTTGTTGCTGAGTTGTTTCTGACTCTTTGCCATCCCATGGGCTCCTCTGTCCATGGGATTCTCCAGGCAGGAATATTGGAGTGGGTTGCCATTTCCTTCTCCAGCAGATCTTCCCAGTCCGGGGATCAAACCTGCGTCTCCTGCACTGGCAGGCAGATTCTTTACCACTGAGTTACCAGGGGAGCCTGGGGGCCTAAAGGGTTGACCTAACCTACATTTTTTTTAAGTCTACTTTAAGCTTGTCCCCAAGTAGTTTTGTCCAGGAGTCAAAGGGGAATAAAGGCTGGGTCAGATTCAGTGAAAGCTGAGATAAAAGGACAGAGAAACAAAGAGGTAGAAAATAGGGCAATGGTTCCCGCCTTTTGTGTAGCAGTAGTCAATAAAAAGGCGTTGGGGGAGCCTGAACATTACTACTGAAAGGGGAAAGGGGGGCACTCGTGGTGTGACTTCAGAGCCATCTAGAAGGTGTACAGAGGAACTCAGTCTGCCTAACTCTTGGACTGGACCCTCAAATGCGTCAAGTGAGGGAGGGCATGCTTTCTATCAGGCAACATCCAACCACATCAGAGTTTTGAAGTGATAAAGAAGAGTCTTTTCCTGCTTACATGAAAATTTCATTTCTTGATTCAAATGTATTGTCTAGACACACAGATGGGTGAATGAAGATCTATCCCTAAGGCATCCTTTCTTATTAAAAGCATCCTCAGTCTGTGTCTGGGGACAAGGCAGTCCATTATCTAATGAAAAGCTCCTGCCATTGATTAATTTTATAACAGCTGCAGCTAAGTGATGGGTCTTTTTTTTTTTTTTTTGAGAATGATTTCTATATTAGCATCTTTAAAAGGACTAGTATCTAGTCTCCAGAAAAAGCAACACATAAAGCTGAAACGTACTTTATTTTTATAAACATCATGTTCTAATGAGGCTTCTGCATGCATGGGCAGTTTGAGTCACATCACCCATTCCCCACACCCCTCCTCCAACTAGAAAGCAGCATAGTTTGCTCTGTTCCTGGCCACTTAAATAGCTTGAATTGTGTACTAGCTTGGACTAACTATCCATGCTTAAGGATTTAACACATTATCTCCTTCCACTTATCAAATAATAACAACAATAGTAGAAACTCAAACAATTTATTTTCCCTAATAAGATTAAGTGGTGAGTACCAGCCTAAGGCAGGAATGTTACCAAAAGAGAGTTTTGCAAAAGATTAATTTGTTTTTCCCATGGTAATTAGGGTCAGATTTCCACTGATGTCCATTTTGGCATCTATTTTCTTCACAGTGATATTGAGGGGAATGGGCATGGATGGAGATTGGGGACCAGAGAATGAAGAGAGGCAGATGGAGGATGCAAATCACTTTCAATTAGAAGCAAAAACTGACAATTACATAAAGGATCAACTCTGAAGTCTTAATCTGAGTTTTAAGGCTTCTGAATAGTTGAAAGTTACCAAAGCTAAACAGTTTTTTAAAATAACATTTGTCTTAAAAGTGATGAGTAAGGAAAGATGCTACTTGGCTCTAAGGAGATTTTGCGCTAATGAAGAGAGAAAGATGTGAACATATCTAAAGAGTTAATGAAAAATGAGTTACTTGTAGGTGTTCATATATATGTAGACATTAATTTTCAGAGTAATAACTAGTATATTTAAAAATTCTTATCCTCATATCTGAGCTGAATCAGATTTGTGATAGTCTCATTCAGAATAAATGCCTAGTTAGATGTTCTGCAGATCTATTTATGTGTAGCCTTAGCCATATAAGCCCTCTATTGTAACATTGTTTTAAACATGAAATTAACTATCAAGCTGTCCTACATCAGTGGCACCACTTGGTAGCAAGAATGGGGAACTCTGATCCAAGATCTCTTTACTGCTTTCTTCCTCTACCCCAAGGAGAACTGAAAGGGAAAAAATGGTGCTCTCTTTGGTATTCTGTGTCTTGTTGCTTATAGTTCGATTAATGTGTCAGTCAGAAATACATTTGCTGCAAGTAACAAAACATCTGACTGGTTGTGTCTTAACCACAGAGGGGTTGTTGTTGTTTTTTGGGGTTTTTTTTTTTTTTTTTTTTAATAACAAACACCCTGGAGACAGTAGAGAGCTAAGGCAGAGTTCAGTAATGGCATTAGAGATCTGGGCCTTTGTTCTGCTGTAGCATCTTTAGTGAGTGACCTTTGACCTCCTAGTAGCTTAATGATGGGTGCCCCTCAGGCAGGAAGGAGAAAGGACCTTCTCCAGCTCAGGCTCTTTGTCTTTCATTTTGGGAAAGGAAACCCTTCCCAGCAGATACCTTGTTAAGCATTGACCCAAACCATGTCTACAAGGGGCTTCTCTGGTGGCTTAGACAGTAAAGCATCTGCCTGCAATGCAGGAGACCTGGATTTGATCCCTGGGTCAGGAAGATCCCCTGGAGAAGGAAATAGCAACCCACTCCAGTACTCTCGCCTAGAAGAATCCCATGGACGGAGGAGCCTGGTGGGCTACAGTCCATGGGGTCGCAAAGAGTTGAACACGACTGAGTGACTTCACTTTCTTTCTTTTCACGTCTGCCTGTCTGCCACTGGTGGATTAGAGAATTGAGATCCTCCAGACTTTGTAGCGGAAAAAGACTTTGAAAATGAGTATTGAGTGAACCAACCTACAGAATCTGCCACAGCTAGATACGGCTGAGTCATCTTTCTAGATTACAAGCATTCTCTGTAGGTCACCTTTGTTCTTTCTCCTTTTGTTCCAACTCCTTAATGTCTGGGGGAGGTCTTGATATCTTTGTTATGTGTGTTTCAAAAGAGAAGCCCAAGCTCAGGCTGTAGTGATTCACCCAGCGCAGTGGGAAGTGATGTTATTTGAAGAAAAATCACATGTGGTATCAGTGTCACCAGCAGGTTAAACCTGGTGAAATTAGGAAGTTTCCTTTCCGAATCTCATCCAATTCAAACCATTTATTGATCA